GCTCCACCTGCTCGGTATGGTACCTCCTCCTCTCCTCTTCATCAAAGCATTGGGCATGAATGTCATATGCCCATTGCTGGAAGGCCCTCCCCTTGCTTGACTCATTGGGATACAGTTGCTTGAATTCTTCTTGTAAGCGATGAGAGGGGGACCTTCGACCCGGGATGGAGTGTTCCATTCCCATGTCTGAGTAGTATCGGGGAGGTCGGAGCATGTGTGGAGATGATGGAGGTTCCTGCCTCCAAGGATTCTGGTCATAGAGACCCAGTTTGGGATGGCTCTGGGTTTTGGAGTACTTCCTCCATGGCATGTTCAGAACGGGATTGTTGCGAGTGTTGCAACATCTTCGAAGTCGTTTATCCGGTCGAGAATTTGATGACCTGTTCTTCACCAAGCCTAGTAATGGACCAGATGCAGCTTGAAAGTCCTGCTACTTCTAGTAGGTCTAGTTACTACGGAGTCCTGAATGATGCAGTTCGCAGTTGCAGAGAGGTCTTTGTGATCTTTGATTATTTCACCACCAGTGTCCAACTACCTCTGAAGGGATGTAACCTTGGTTCACCTGCTGTTCCAGCAGAGCTTTCTGAGAGTTCATCCTGTGTCAAATGACTATGTGTCTATGTATGTACTTGTAACTAAACCCCTAAGTAAGTCAGAACAGCACAGGGGTTGAATACGCGTCTGATGTCACTTTAGCACTGAGCAAGTAGGTTTAGTCCCTCACTACTTGAGGTTTGCAGGTCACGCTGAAGCAGTCCAGAAGTGTTGCTGATTCACAGCTTCCTGTAATAGTCACAGAAGGTTCTCCCTTGTTATCTGCTAGCCCTTTATATGCATAGGCTATACGCTTGTTTCAACTGATCCAGATGCGCTGTCATAAGCAGACCGCACCCTACCACTGATAGATAGATATACTATCCGATTGCACGGCAGCTAGGCCTAGGATATTTTATATGGACTAGCAGTTCCACGCTGTGAGGTGGCATTCCGGGCTGCCCCCACACAGAACGAGTTCTCTTAGGTCAAGTACATGATGCGGACGAGCAAGGGTTCAGAACAAGTTTCCTCAGGCAGGCTACAGGCATGGTCTGTACAGGACAGGTACATGACATGTCAGGCTTAGGGCAGAGTATGCAGTATGGGGAAGCTGCTCATTTCTACACTACAGGATGGGTACACAACATGTGACGTCCATCCAGGGTGAACCAATACACATCCAGGTACCTTATATCAGAACTGTCTACCAAAGTCCTCGGGGTGCAGCATGCAGTCAGGATCGTCCTTCAGAGTAACGGCGGGGTGAGTCCTGCTGATTGGAGCACCACCGGGGGTTGACAAAGAGTCGACAAGCATGCACATTTCGTGGACCCATGGGTAGGAGTCAATCGAGTGGACATGCAAACCGGACTCCACAAGGTCCGAATGAGCAGAAGCTGCCTGGTGCTACAAGAGGACCTTAGACTGGCACGTATGGGAGAGCATGTCGATAGACGTACCAAAAGTGACCGGACAGCAGTGTGCCAGTGATATCACTCAACCACAGCAGGATGCGACCTGGACGGGATATGGGCGTGCTCAAATGCCAGCACCTCAAGCAAGAGGAGGTAGCGATGGAGCCAGGCAGCACAAAAAATGGCCAGAGAATCAAACTGAGCTTGTGTGGTGCGAGACATGGTTGGGTGAGAGAAGAGATGGGGACGAGGGGCAAGGACGGGCAGAGACCCAGATGTGGACAGAGTCTCGGGGCGGGTCCTCGGACTCTAGGGGGTGAAGCCAATGAAAGGCCGTTGGAGGAATCACCCAGTCTTGGGCAGAGGGGTGAGGTCAGATTGGGGCAGAAGGGAACCATTGTGATGGCAAGGCAGGTGAATGGGAACATGGTTACAAGGTTGCAGGGGAAGTCGGCAGGACTTGACGTGGTGGAGGCTGAGCATTGAGGCAGCAAACCAGGAGCTGGAACGAGTGGGTCTCTACTTAAACGAATAGTGAAATGCAGGTTTGGAACATGATGCGATGGAGTGGTCAGCAGCAGCAGGCCCTCTGAGAGAACAAGAAATAGCGGAACAAGTCAACAGGTTGAGAGCCAAGCATGGTCAGATAGGGGAACGAGGACCAGGGTGAGTGCATCCTGGAATTGCGATATTTAAAGAACGTGTAGATAGAGAACAAGAGGACTGTTTTTTTTAGACTGTATACCTATGAGACTTAGAATGTGAAGCGGCTTGTGCAGCAGTGGACAACAACAGAGACAGCAGTCTCAGTTCACCTCTCAGGCTTCAGGCTCTACTACACATCAGAGCTCTCCTCTTTGGTCTCACTGTCGAATGTGCCTCACAAGGCAGGAGAATGCAGCAGCAGATATGGTATGCCCTCATTCTGAGATCCCTGTATTCCATCCGAAGGCCATTAGACCTGCCCCGGAACTGTTCTACTATGCAGACTTCATGTACATCACCCCGGGCCAGGTGCTCTATGCCGTTGCTGTCCTCTCGGGCATTGTTTTGGTTCATTTCTCCACCATCTTCTACATTTTGCTTCTGCATCGCCTCTAGATGCAAACCTTCTGTGCACTGTTCCTCCTTCATCCCTCTGTGCACTGTTCCTCCTTCATCCCTCTCAGTTGTTTGCTGTCATTTCGCAGCTAGCCGAGTACTCACAATCACAATGCTTCAGAGGTCCATCGGTGCACTTTAGCTGTGGTGAATCCTCAATAGCGACACCCTTTCAAGGAGTACTGCTTCCCCTTCTCCTAGTGGGTTCCATTGTCAGCAGGCTCTCTGGCCCTCATAATGGCCGTATTGGTTTTATCCAACTAGGTTTGACTGGAAGCTCCCCTTATGCCTGGGGTCTCAGCAAGGTTTGAGACAGTAGTATGTTGCCCACTTTTGCACGAGGCTGGTTTAGGGCCTATGTATTCTGACTAACAGTCTGCGTATTCGCTTCACTGAAGAGGTTCAGCAGGGTGCAGCTAAGCTCGAGGAATGTGAAAAGATGCTCTGGGTGAGCACGATGAGATGGAGGTAATTGACAGTGATATAACAGTCTGAGGCGTCGACCAGTGCCCACAGACTACAGAGAGGAGTTTTGAGTTATGTGAAGGATCACAAGAACTCCTTGAGTCCACTCTCGCCTAACCCATCAGGGTTCTCTGGTAAGATTGGAGGAGTAAAGACCAACTCGAAACTGAGGTGTAGGCCTCAGCTCGAGCCAGTATATATACAAGTGGAGTAAGACCCCTGGTATTGGGTGTCGGACCCTGCATACCCTAGATCCGTACTAATACATCATTATGGCATGCTATGACATGCTCAAGCCTAGTGGAGTCTGTCTAAGTCTAGGAGTGCCTAGAGAGTCCAGGCCTATGATGTCACTATGACATAGGGTCACGTGACTGGTACATGTCCGAGAGATGTCCGAGTGGTGTGGGTATACTAAGATATACATGTGGAGGCATAATGGTACATTCTATGTATGGTATTCGGGTGGATGAACTAAAGTCCTTGGCACTTGCGACTTGTGGCGTGGAAAAACTGTGAGATTCTGGCCATGTCCTGCATTGCTTTGCAGATCATAGATCAGAGAAAATCTCGCAGGTGGGTTAAGAAGACCACTCTGTCACAAAATGGGGCAATATTATAGATGCTCCGAGATGGAATGTGGTTCTGAATGCTTATTGATGGTGGATGGGATCAACGCACCTGTTTCCTCCTCCATCAGGTGTCATCCCAACCTGTTTCTGAGTAACAAATGCTCCATGCTTGAAATTTTATCCCAGTACCCATCCGGGAATGTGTCTCATTGTGATGTCGATGAGGTTGATGCACACCAGCTGGTAAGCAGGCTCGCACAGAAATAAATGGTCAATGAAGTGTGTCACCGGGCTCTCCATAAGTAGCTGCAATCTTTCACCACCATGCCTGCTGGCATGCAATTACATAGTACAATCACATTGCATCTACACAAGTTCTGCACGATATTGAACTTTTTTGGACTGATGGATGAAATAGGTTTGGAGGCTCCAAGGCAGCATACAGCCACATCAAAACTTTTGGAAGTGTACATGGCAGGATGACATTGCAGGCAATTCTACCCAGCCCACCATACAGAGACCACATAAGTGGGGGGGCAGCTGCATAGAACATTCTGCAACTGAGTACTGAGGTCTCATAGATGTAGACAAAATACAGCCTTTCTGAATAATGAGTGTTTCTCTTTTCTAGCGAATCCTGTGCGGAGGCCTCAGTGAATTGTGTCTCGGTAAGTTGCAGAAAATGAATGCATCCAATGATACTTTCAGGCCCATTCTGCCAGCGATTGTTCTTCTGATGCATATGGCATAGAATAACAGTTTCTGAGCAGGGGTAACAGTGTTACAGACTTACCCAATCTGCTGAGGAGACAGTTGCAGACTATGCATCGAGGGAATCAAATGGAAGGAAAACTGCAGTGATTGAGAAGTGCTTCCTATGATTGATGTGTTGGCTTTTGGGGCCTGGGAGGCACTGCGGGATAGCAGTGGACCTCGGGGGCATCAGAGCCAGGTACAGGGGCTGCAGAAATGGCAGCCAGATAAGTGCTGGGTGTGCGAGCTGCCCTGAAGTGGCATGGTTAAAAGGGAGGTAGTTAATGTAGTGTTACCTTGCTTCTTTGTACCCAAATCCCAAGTGGTGTCGTGAGTTATTGGGCATGGTGCTGGTCTTGGCTGCCGTTGTTCAACACGATGGACTCTACTGCACACTATCATGCTGGTGGGATAATTATCGATCTGTTAGAAAAAATTTTAGGTGAATCTGACAGCGATCAAGTGCTCATTATAACTTCGCATCACACTGGTCTTGTAACGTATGACGGTCAAACTGTCCAAAAAAATATTTTGCCATGCACGACATTCAGATCGCATGATATTTTGGGTGCTTGTGACAGTTAAAGGGTGTTCGATGTTAGATTGAGTATAACATATGCATAGCTCGAGTACAAACCTTCCTCTTCCAGCAACCACCATGTCTGCTTTAGGCACCCAACCAGTGACCACCAGCAATGTTGACATAGAGGCCTCCAGCATCGAGCCTATTGCTCCACTGCAAAGTAACACTACCGTACCCCCCACACCGACTGCCTCACGCATCTGGGCCTCACTCATCAAGGAACAAGACATGGCAATGGTGCGATTCAATGGCCTCCTGCACCACATCACCAACAACCTCCAGTCACTGGATGGCACCATTCAACCCCTCATCTGGGATGCCAACCCTACCACCTTCATCAACGATTTTGCCCAGGTCATCAACCTTCTCACTACCACCTGCTAAGAGCTTCACACTGAGCTCATGACAGATGAGGTTCTTTACACATCTGGCCCAGGCGTGGAGGCTTTGAAAGTATTTGAACACTTCTTTACAACCATGGCCCCCCTCTGGTTTACAGATTACGACGATGAGTTACCCATCTCACCCAGCTCTTGCAGGTGCCACGAAACCATTCTCCCTGTGGGCATTGACCTTCAGGCTGCAGTTGCCAAGGCAGTGGAAGATGGCATTCACATGGCCAACACGGCCATCATCACAAGGCTGACGGCTATCAAAGCACAGCTTGCTCACAATCAGCTGCCCCCACCACCACCACCCTCAAAGCTGACTCACCTGCAGCGCCCATCCACCATGCCTGATGGCCGCAAATGCACAGAAGGCCCCAATGTGGCGGCCAAGGCCCAACCTACTGCGCAGGCACCTGCTGGCTCAACCCTGGCTCAAGTGGCTGCCAAGTCTCGTGAGAAGAGCTATGTGCTCCTCATCACCCCCGAACAACACATCTCCATCAAGGAAGGCAGATCCATGCCACAGTGGTATGTCAAAATCAATATCTGCCTGTGTGAAATGCCAGCATGGGCAAAGGTAAAGTTTCTCGGTCTCCGTTTTGCTGGACCTACCAAGGTTATGGCAGTCTTCTCGAATGACTCTCTGGATGCTCTCATCTGCGAATGTCTATGCCCTATCAGGCATTTGCTCGGCATTGTACCTCATGCATCTTTGCCAGTGCTGAGCCCACATGAGCTGGCCACCATGCCACAGGACTTCTGTCTGCTTGCTCCAGTTACAAAATTGTTCATACTGAGCTGCCCTCTTCACCACCCAGACACAGGTATTATGCTCACTGAGGAGGAGATCATTGTGGAGCTGTGCTGCAACTCCATGTTCTCCACCATCCATTTCAATGGCCTGCCAGCCTTCATCATTTTCACTAAACAGTGAGAGCAGCTGGAGAAATCGTCCATCATTGTGTCTGTCAAGGACATCCACCGTGATTTCTGCACGCGAAACCTTCTCGGCCGTGATAACTGTGGCGATGCCACCAGTTTCATATGGTTTTATGGCTCCCACATGACTGTAAAGAAGTCAAAAGACAGACCCATTTACCTCCAGTGCATGCATTGCTGGTGCCTCACTCATCTCGAAAGCCACTGCAAAAAGTGCACCCCCGTGTGCCATTTCTGTGGTAAAACTGACCACATGACTGATGTGCACCATCAGGCATGCCTGATGTGCAACCATGAGAACCATCTGATGGAGCAGCCCTGCAACTCCACCCACTACTTCTGTGTCATCTGTGGCACTAACGACCACAGCACTGCAGACTCCACATGCCTCGTGCGGAAAGACTACCGCATTCCCATCACGTGCACAAACCCTTCCTTATGAATCTCACAACCACTCATTTGAATGTGGCCTGGTCCAATCTGTGCATCCACGAGTTCATTTCCTCTTCATCCTATGACATATACTTCCTTCAAGAGCCGTGGTGGGGACAAATTGGTATCGATACCCTCCATGGTTCCGAGTCTGGTGCCACTTTCTATGGTCATGTTAATGTCCGATCTGATGGCCTGGACACCTTTCATTTTCACTTCACCACTGCTTTGCCATGGCCTCGAGCCAGCATCTTGGTCCGGCGTACGCTTCTGAATACCTATCACATTTCCATGTGCATTGACCTGGTGTCTGATCTGGACATAGTCGTGATTCATTTCGTGTCCTGCATTGATCCTACCTTGTCCTTTTTTGCTGTCAACTGCTATAATGAGGGGACGTGGGCTCAGCATCTCATTTTGCCTCTACTGTACAATATTCCTTTTCTACCTAAGATGAATCTCCTCATCGCAGGTGACTTCAACCTCCACCATTCCCTATGGTCCTGGATGGGTCATGTTTCACACCCATCCTCACCTGCCTCCACCGCCTTTACCAGTTGGCTTGAGCGTGAATCACTTGCAATTCTCAATGACCTTGACGAGCCCACCCACATGGTCGATGGTAATCCACTCTCTGGGACCATTATTGATCTAGTCTGCACAACCTCCAGGGAGCATTTTCATGTCCACGGGGTTGCTGCTACTCCCACTCTTTTCGAATCTGATCATGCGCTACTAACTTCCTTTCTTTCTCACACAACCCACCCAGTCGACGTTGACCTCAGTTTCTGGATCGATGTGTCTAAACGTGACGACTGGGAGAAGTGCCTAGCCCGTGAGTTAGTGCTCTCTCCACCATCACCGACCTACTCCACCACCAATGATTTGAAGGCTGGAGCACACGCTCTGCTGAAGACAATGACTACTGCCAGCCGTGAGGCCTTTCCTCGATGAATGCATGCTCACCGGGCTTCACAGCTCTGGTGGAATGATGCGCGTGACACTGCTCACACCAACGTCCAAAACGCCCACACTCAGAAGGAACACTGTGCCACCAAGAGCACACTCTCCTCAGTTATCTGGCAAGCATGCAAAGACTGGGCTCACGAGGTGGTCGTGAGACTCCAACACACTAATCCCTGGTGGCTCACCTCCTGGACCAAAGGAGTGCGGGCATCCCCACTGCCAGTCATTTACCTAGGTGACAAAGTGGGCTCACTCCCATCTGACGCTGGATGTCTACTCACTCAGTTTTATTTCCCTCCTTCTCCACCTCTTCCTGATTTGCCTCCTCTTTTCACTTCTGCGCCCCCACTGGCATGATCAGACTGGCCCCTGCTTTTCTCTGAAGTGGCTGCCACCATGGAGGCAGCATCCAATTATTCTGCGTCCGGGGTGTCTGGAACATCTTGGAGGCTTCTGAAATGGGTATGGCGGTCTGGTGCACATGACACCCTCTATCATTTTCTTTCTGCTTCTTTGCATATGGGATATCTCCCCACCCTGCTGAGGGTGGTGGCAGTCATGTACATATCCAAACTGGGCAAGGTGGACTACACCGTCCTCAAAACCCACCGCCCCATTGCGCTCTTGAAAACTTTAAGTAAAGTCCTTGAGAAGGTGATCTCTGCACGTCTCAACTTCCAGATTGGTGTGCATAACCTCATACCTGGCTCATAGTCTGGTGGGCGAGGCCAGCATTTGGTCGTGGATGCTGCTGTCGTCCTCACACATCACATTCACACTGCTTGGGAGAATGGCTTCTCTGCCACCCTTTTGTGCATGGACGTCGATGGCTACTATAACAACATTCGCCATGATGTTCTTCTTTCTGCTTTGCTCTCTATGGGCTTTCCAGACAATGAGGTCCGCTGGACCATGTCTTTCCTTTCTTCTCACATGGTACAACCCAAGCTCAACTTTGAGCTGGGACCTTCCTATCCAGTTGCTGCATTAGGCATCCTGTAGGGCTCACCCCTGTCACCTGTCCTTTTTATCATTTACTCATCTCCACTGTATGCGAACCTTGACTCTTTCGTGCATCCTCAACAGTCCACAGCCAGATATGTGGATCATTTTGCACTTCTCATTGTCTCCCCTTCCCTGAACGAAAATGCAGCTATCATACAGCGCATGCTGCTGCATGTGAGCACCATGCTGCATTAGCTCAGACTCACAATTGGCATGGCCAAGACTGAGCTAATGCACTTTACCTCCCCCTGACATTCTCTGGATGTTGACCCTCCCCTGCAGGTATAGTGGGAGGGGCGTACCATCACCTTGCAACCTGCTTCCTATCTCCGGTGGCTCAGCATCTGGTATGATCATCGCCTCACCTTTACGCATCACATCTGGGTCATGGCTTCCCAAGCATCATCCTGGGTTGCCACCTTCCACATGTTCATGAACACTCAGCATGGCATGATGGTCATGCAAGCCTGTCTACTTTATCTCACCACTGTCCTTCCTGTCCTCACTTTTGGTAGTCCCATGTGGTACAACCCACGGGGACCACGCTCACTTTTTAAACCCCTGCAACAGTTAAAAATGATGCGCTCTGATGGTTCATGAGAGCGTGAAAGTCCACACCTCGACACATCCTCAATTTCATCTCGAGCATTCTACCAATGTGGCACCAACTCGACAAGCTTAATGGCCTTGCCACTGCTCGACTCCTCACCCTACCCGAGTCACACTCGGTAACCCAGTGTTTGGCGGCCAACCGCACCGCCCACCCACCCAATTTCTTGCTACTCAACCCTGCCATCCTTATTCACTACAGCACAAGTGCAGTGGACGTACTCAAACAAACACTTCCTGCTCAAGCTGCATGCCTTGACCCATGGCTACAGCTGCCTTGAAAGCCTGCACAGCCCTGGGGTGAGCAGGTTCAGATTTGTGTCCCACCACCGACCAAGGACGGATCAACTGACTATCTCTGTTCTTTCTTTTATCCCACTATGCACTCATCTATCATTTCCCCCCACGCCCTATGGGTTTTCACTGATGGCTCTCAAGTTGCTCAACCTGACACAGCCCCTAGGAACTGGAGAGCAGGTGCAGGTGCATGCATCGTTCATCAGGGTGCAGTCAAATATGAGCAGGCCTGGGGATTGGGCCACTGGGCAGACGTCTATGATGCTGAACTCTATGCTATGGCAGCGGTCATCAGCCACTTTGCCAGTTTTCTGGTGTCCTGCCCTATGATCACACACATATACCTCTGCGCAGATAACCACGCTGCCTTTCCAACATTCTTTTGCTGTGCCCGCATAGCAGCCAGCCTTTTTCAATTCGCTTTCGAGCACTTGCTCTCATCATGGAGCGCTGTCCTCTTTTACAAATTTCTTTGCTTTGGGTATCCAGGCACAGGGATGTACTGGGAAACAAAGTGGTGGACTGCCTCACTAAGGCAGGCATGTCCCTACCTGATAGTGTCCTACCCACCCTAACGTGGATCAGGTGCTGGGTGTGTGAGCGAGCGACTACCTCCTGGCAAGTCAAATTCTGTTTCACTGATCACCCCACTGCTATATGGTTCACGTGACCCTCTCTGCCCTCTCAAAAGCTGCATCTTGTTTTCACTGTTAAATATTATGAACACAACATCAAAGCCAGACTGACCCAAGCCTTAACCAGCTATGGTTATCTGGCCCCGTATTTTTCTTCTCAATTTGGAACTGCAGGCTCCACTCATCATTATCATGGTGCACTCTGCATATGCGATCTAATCACCCCAGGCACACGCACTCATGCCATGCTGTACTGCCCACGCCATGAACATGCCCAGCACCTGCTCTTCTGCAACCCCAAGCCCACCCTCCTGGACCTGCATTGGCTGTGGCATCATCCCGCCAGCCTCCGTCACTTCATCTCTTTCATCTCTGCTACCTCTGCTTTCTCCGCCGTGACCCTAGCACCCCCTGATCCTGGGTGATCAGGTCTTTCCTTACGGCACCTACTGCTCACCTCGCTCAATTCACTCTGAGTCTATGCATTGACACTTCCTTGTGTAGTCCTTTTTTTGTATTTACCTTACTCCAACCGCACATAGCGCAGTATACAAATAAATGTTTTAAAAAAAAAAAAGCTCGAGTATGATAGGCTTATGTAGACAGAATATTATAGCCTTCCTCTTGTTTCAATGCTTGTGGCAATACTACAGAGCAAATCACAAGCAAACACGTGCATGAACATGCATTATATAGGTAAATAACTACCAGGGATCTTCAGCATCCTTCTCTGCGAGCTGAAGGAAGGCCTTTGATGGGGGCCCATATGCATGACAGAAGGTCCTCGACACGGGTGCTTCAGTGGACAAATCAATGTCTTTGACTGTCTCAGAATGTCTGATAATGAGTGACGTCGTCAAGGGAGACCCTGGTTGAGTGATGGCAAGTTCATGCTCCTGCGCTGAGTCATGATTGGCTAAATGGGTGAATGGTCCTGCAGCTGAAGACGGCGTGCATGTGGTAGATCTGACTGACTGAACTTTGTGGGGCCTCTGGGAGGTACGTTTGATTGCAATGTGTTTATCTATTGAATTTGAAGGTTAAGCAACCTGCGTGCATGAAACTGCAGCCACTCACTGTGAGTATATTCTGAATCTGAACCACTGCGACTATCAGTGTCCAAGACCACAATCATCATGCACTTGCTTTTGCCATTAATGACAGCCTCCTATCACGGTTTTGCCAGACAACCTATATGGAACATAGATACACTTAATTTACACTTATCATTTCATTTCATCTTACATGTCATGTGACAGGTCGGCCATCAGCCTTATCATATATATTACAACATCACGTGACTTGGCCATCGGCCATCAGCCTCAGCACCAGCCCTGACTAAGTCGCTCAGTCAGCTTATCTCAGCTTCGGTCATCCACACCGAATAACTCAGATAGCGTCACCCGGAGCTCTGTCATGCCACACTATTCATAGACACCAATCATATCATTAGGGACACATCATACGATGGTAGTGCTAGCCAGTAGGCATCGTGGAAGGTACTTACGGTATGTAATTACTATACAGTAGCATTCCTCACATGTATATAAGACCAGGGTGGACAAGAGACAGACCTCAGTCTTATTCTCCTTCGTCCACCGTGACAGCTACTACAGGCCTAACAAGCCTAATACATCTATTCACATCACATAGCCTTGCTCACCACCCAGCTTTGCCGCATTAATCAGTGAGTATAAGTGTCAACTGAAGGGGCTTGCTCATCGATGGGCTCATCGTACAGACCATCTGGTCTTTTACTCCAGAGTACCCTTTGAGGGACTGGGGTTTTAGTTTGTCTATCTTTGTCTATGGCAATCTGTGACATTAGAATAAGACTGAACTTTTGTTGCCCCTGCTAGTGTCCAACACTAGTGGCCGCTTCTTTTCAGCGCAAGCAGTTTCAGCCATAGCACATGGCTTTTTTGACACATCCATACATATACTGACCTCTACCAGGCATGAGCCTCAGCAAGACCCTGAGCAGCCCAAGGCACTCAAGTGCAAGGCCACCCCAAAAATTGACCTCGACGCCCAAGACAAGTGTCAGAGGACCAACAAAGAGAGAGGAAGACTCCTCGCTCTCACATCCCTAGGCGCATCTTCTATAGATCACCAGCATGCAGCAGCTCGGGTCATAGACACTACCCACATCATAGAATGAGGCATCATCAGACAGCCTCACAGTCACACCCCCCCGCTCAAATGCTACTGACCTCGACCAGGTCATCTTACCACCGGAGGTCGCAAACCAAGGCCACCTCCAGAAATCATCACATCTAATGCAGTCCCTCCCCCCATTATCGCTCCCATCACAGTTCAGCTCCTACCAAACTTCATACAGAAAAACACAGTCACAAGACCCATACGCCCACTCCCATCCAGAGTTAGACTGACTCTACATCTCGTGACACTCACAAAGCAAGTAGATGTGACTCACTTCAAACTCCAGCCTCTACTACAAGGCTTCAAGAATCATTTCGATGACTACTAGTTTGACTGGGTCTATCACTTAGCAAGAGAGCTAGACACAGCCAGTACACATCTACACAGTGGGATGCACACTTTCACATTCATCGAGAAACAAGTTATCAACATGACCTGTTTGGAGATAGGAAGCATCAGCTTCAAGCAGCTAGGAAAGGAGGAATGACTAAAGGAGATAGTCACAGGATTGATCTTTATCGCAAAAAAGCAATACTTGGAATTCCTGTATTAAATACATTTGTATGCCCCGGTACCAGATCAATTTTGTGTTCAGAAACTACACGGTCCAGCACCACATCACCGATCACTACCACCACCTAGTGTGCATGGCATACTTCATCTATCAACCTCTGCTATCTCAGAGATCTATCCCACTTTATCACTACCCAGTTGACATCGAACGTCGAGTTACCCTACATGCACCTTTTTGTCTCATTGAACTCAACATCGAAATCTTTGATCCAGTTCGTAATGTAACTGGGCCAAAAATCTATACTGGGAATTCTTTGCTCGGTTATACCAACAGGCCGAGGAAGCCTTCTACATCGCTTGGTACAATGTGTACCCTGAACAAAGACACCCTCGCCCAGCAAGACTTGTAGCATCAGCGGCAAGAAGAAACTGTTTGATTGAGCTATCACTTCTGCCAGGAGCAGAAAATCACCTATAACAACCTGGACCCTCATGACCTATCACACCTCGATCAATTCAGAGACAACATTGAACAAAAAAAATGTCTGAATTCGATCTTGGAGAAGTCATGGTCCCAGGAACTGTCATCCTGACCCCGACACCACCTGCAGGGCCAAGTAACTCTACTCAATGAGCATTGGCACATCTCAGCTGGGCTGCATCCCCCATACAGATCACCTCACTGACTCCATCACCACCACGATTCACCATGCTGACCACATGGGAAGTCAAAGGCACCCCTTATGCAATGGTGAAAGAAGCTGCCAATGCAGCAGCACCTGAGAGCATCCCCCAGAATGTCAAAGATTGGGTCAGAAATGTTATCCATACCTTCATAGTATGAGACATCACAGCAGCATACAAAACTCTCCGTGAAAAGATGGAGGAATGCCACGAGCGCATGGTCAAGCAGCTCAAAGGCATGTTGAAGAAAAACACTGTCACCAGTCTTGAAGTGCAGCTTGATGGCAATCAGGTCCTCGCCACACAAGAAAAGGCAGACACCGATGCCAAGCTCATGCAGGCAGATCACAACCTATGCACATTGCATTCTCATCTTGTCACGTTGAAGAATGCACAGAACACCATCACAATGTACATTCAACAGTTGGAGCAACACCTCATGTCAGGCCAAGTCGCTTCAACAACCAGTATAACCCCCCAGCCACGGTCATCCCAGCAGAAGCTGCTCAAAATGCCAAAACCACCCAAGTTCTCAGACAAAGGATCCAGCCTCACACTAGAGCAATGGATCAAAAAGGTCCAGATCTGGTTAAACTACAATCAGGTCAACACTGATAAGCAACACATCTCGCAGGCAAATGCCCTGCTTGAAGGTGGCACTTCGGACTACATGGAAGAATACAACGATATTCTTTCAGCAAATCAGGACCCCGGCACATGGGCAGACTTCGTCAAGAAGCTCGAAATGGGATACAAGATGCTTGACCCCAAGCGCACAGCACAGGCTAAACTGGGAGAACACTGCAAAAAGAAATTCTCCTCGATGATAGACTTCGTGAAGAAATTCAGGTCATATGCTCCTCAGTCTGGATACAGCGATGAGGACTTGATCGTCAAGATCAGGAAACACCATCCCATCTACGTACAAGGAATCATGTCAAATGTCTACATCATGACGCTGACCCTGATCCCCAACAAGTGGAAGGACTGCCTCGACATGGCACTTAGAATCGAATCCGAGTACAAGCAACAGCTGAGTCGCAAAAAACCAACCAATTATGCAGCAAGTACATCCAAGCCCAAAGACCCCAATGAAATGGACACCACAGCAAGGGTTGCACACAATCTCACCCCGGAACAGATGAGTTGGCTTGACACAAAGAAATGCATATACTGCACAAGGCACACCTTTAAGAAGGGGGTTTTGCAAGACACCCGATCCCAAGTATAAAGGCAAGAAGTTTCAGATGCCCACCACATCTAAGGGAAGGCAAGCAGTTTGAGAAGTCAAGGAAGACACAGTAGCACCGCCCCCTAACAACAATTCATCACCAGAGATTAGAGCACTGGAAGAAGCAATTCATGCGCTAAAAGTGAAGAAGGTGGCGGACGCAAAGAAAGGGTCCTCAGGGAGCAAAGGGAAAGCCAAGGCATCGACCTCCTCGGAAGAATCAGAACAGGACACATGTATCATTGAGTGGGATGAACTCGAGCATTTTGCGGCAGCACTGTAGATGCATCTGGTGTCACAGTGCCTCAGGACATATATATGTACAGTAGTGCAGTTCAATCGAATGTACCAGTAGATTATCTATACATTGCATCAACTGGTTTGAATAAACATTCGATGGAGTTACCCATAAGGATACTCTCACATGAAATCCAGACAAAAGCCCTACTCGACTCAAGAGCCTTCTCATGTTACATCGATGAGAAATTTGCAAGGGACAAAGGATTAAAACTCCTTCCACTACACCATGAGATCAGAGTATACAATGCGGATGCCACACCCAACAAGGGTGGCACCATTAAATATTGCGTAAAGGTTGACATGTCGATCGGGGATCACAGATCCACAGAAAGCTTACTGGTTACCAATCTGAGAAAACAGAAGCTAATTTTAGGAATGAGCTTCCTAAACCAACACAACCCCAAAATTGATTGAGAATGAGAAGACATATCGTTCACCTGATGCAACCATTCACGACGACACAAGATCGTGGTCTGTGAGGAGGAAGTCAACCTACTCAAACAACCATGGCTTGAGAATGAAGCCATTTTTCCTGGCTCTGGAATAGACACCTCAGAAGATGACAACCAGAGTGATGAATTTAATGACTTCATTCAATGGGTCTCCATACAGGACGATGAAATTTGATTCATGGTCCACAAAATCCTCAGATTAGGAGACAAGGCAAAGGAATATTTCGGTACTGCCTTAGGAAAAGAACACATAGACAAGGATTATTGGTCTAAACTTGTCCCAAAGATCTATCATGAATTTGGTGACGTGTTCTCTAAGAAAACCTCAGAAAGGATGCCGCTTCACAAGACCTATGACCATGCGATAAATCTTACCCCAGATGCGACACCACTGAGATTATTCAAGGTATACCTGATGTCTCTGCAAGAACAAAATTCCCTCAACGAATGGGTAGATGCGGAAATGGCAAAAGGATACATCTGCCCTTTCAAATCACCCTTCGTGGCCCCATACTCTATGTTAAGAAAAAGGACAGATCATTAAGGCTGGTACAAGACTACCAAGGCCTCAATGCAATCACCAAGAAGGACAAGTTTCCACTTCCAAGGATAGCTGACTTAATTGATGGACTATACAAAGCTTCACTTTTTACGAAGCTTGACCTCAGATGGAGATACAGCAATATCCGCCTCAGAGGAGGAGACGAGGAAAAGGCAGCATTCATTATGCACCGAGGACTGTTCAAACCAACAGTAATGTACTTCGGGTTTTGCAATGCACCAAGCACATTCCAGGCCATGATGAACGACATCATGGGTGATTTAATTCATACTGGAAAGGTAGTGGTGTATATTGATGATATCCTCATATATACTGATAACAAGTAAGAACATGAACACATTACCTGAGAGGTTCTAAAAAGACTTCGAGACAACGACTTGTTCAGCAAACCAGAGAAATGTGTTTTCGCTGGAGAGTCTATGGAATTCCTAGGACTCATAATCTCGAAGAACTCCATACAAATGAACCTAAAGAAGGTGGAAGGCATTCTAAACTGGCCAATTCCAATGAAAGTCAAACAAGTACAGGCTTTCCTAGGATTAGCGAATTTCTACAGAAGGTTCATAAAGGACTTTGGCAAACTCGTCAGACCTTTAACCCTTCTAACATGCAAAGACCAAGCTTGAGTATGGAAGGAACCTCAACAGACAGCCTTCGAAGCTCTCAAGAAAGCATTCACTAATGCCCCAATACTGGCTATGCCAAATGATGTCTGCCTTTACAGGCTGGAAACAGATTCATCTGACTTTGCTACAGGAGCAGTCCTCGAGCAACTCAGAGAAGATGAACTATGGCATCCTGTCACGTACTACTCTAAATCCCTCAATGAACATGAGAGAAATTATGAGATATACGACAAGAAAATGTATCATCAACTGGGTAAAAGTGTGCTTGCTTTGTGACGCGGTCCACTACTACAAGTATCACCGTCTTTTTTTCTCCTCGCTCATCGAGAGATGGCGGTAATTGGGTAATGAGATCACATGTTACAGTATGATCTGCCATGGTCTCCCTGGTACTGGGTTGGGTCATAGAAGTCCGTATGGCTTTTGTCGAGATTTCTTATTTCTCTGGCAGGTTACACAGCCTTATACGTATTTCTTGACTTCTATGTTCATTCCCGGCCACCAATAGTTCCTTGTTAGGAGCTCCAATGTCTTTGATCTGCCTGGGTGTCCAGTGAGCAAGATATCGTGGTGGAGCCTGATAAGTTCTGTTCGCAATGTGGGGAGTTTGGGTGCATAGACCTTTCCTCTTCGAGGTAGTAGTCCTTGTTCAAAGTTCCACTCTTAGAGGTCCTTCCTGAACTCTCCCTTCCCCGATTTGAGTAAGAATCGGTACTCCTTGGTCATTTCATCATTTTCTAGTGCACATTTGATCTTGTCTATGAGTTTTGCATCGTCAAACTCTGAGCCGTGAGTGGCTGAAATGGCGTGTATAGCAAAACACTTAGGTCATAGCATAGTTTGCCCAAAATTGTCTTCGCTCACCCCCTTCTCATGATCTGGCCTCCTGGACAGAGGATCTGCATGTAACATCGTCTTGCCTGGTCGATGACTTAGTATAAAATTGAATCATGTTAGGTAAAGGGACCAGCATGCTTGTTGTCTGGTCAGTCGTTGTGCTTGTCTAAAATAGGTAAAATTTAGGTGATCCGACCATATCTCAACAGGCTCCAGATGTCCTTCAAGATAGTGTCTGTATTCTTCTAATGCGCAAATGATTGCGAGCATTAACTGCAACACAAGTAGCATCAATCTTCTATAATGAAGTATTCAAACAACATGGAATGCCGGACCAAATAATATCTGACAGAGGAACTCAGTTCTCAGCCAAGCTCTTCCAAGAGTTTTGCAAACTGTTACATATACACTCTACAATGTCTATGGCATATCACCCAGAAATGGATGGACAGACAGAACGAACAAACCAGATACTGGAACAATATCTACGAATGTATTGCAACCACAGGCAGAACGATTGGGCGCATCTGTTACCCACTGCTGAGTTTGCATACAACAACCAGTCATCTGAAGCAATGACACTGTCACCATTCTTTATTGAATACGGACAACACCCTCGAACATCCAATGATGTACTAAGGGATATCTCACACCCGTCACTAGAAGAACTGTTCAGAGATTGTGAAGAAGCAAAAGACCAGGCCAGATCATCATTAATTATGGCGGCAGAGCACATGAAGTGGTACTTTGACCTCAAAAAAACAAAAGATCCCCTTCAAAAAGGGTGACCTTGTAATGTTGAGAGGAATCAACTTATGAGTCAGAACCAAGAGCAAGAAGCTGGCGGCACAGAACTATGGGTCGTACAAGATTCTTGACTCTATAGGTTTCACTTCATTCAAACTACAACTACCGACAACTATGAATATTCACCCAGTCTTTCATGCCTCTAAGCTAATCATGTTCCATGAAGATTCAGTACCAGGAAGGACCCCACCTATTAACCCACCAGTCATCATAGATGGAGAAAAGGAAGAGGACGTCGAAACAATCCTGGACTCTAGAATCAAATATGGCAAACTCCAGTATTTAGTCAAGTGGCTAGACTATGGCCCAGAGGACAATACTTGGGAACCAGCAGGAAATCTTGACAAAGTCAAAGACATGATCGAAGAATTCCACAAGACACACCCTGATGCTCCTCGCAAAGCAACACATATGCGAAAAGGGCACAACATCTGCCTAAGTGATCACCCTAACACCTTCCTATTTTTTGAACCCCTAGCCAAGAATGCCAGGTGGCCAACAAAGGGCTCCAATGAGTCAGCCGGTTGGGATTTATATTCTACAATGACCACGGTCATCCAACCTGGTAAATGCATGCTCATAACGACAGGGCTTGCAATGACACCACCAGTCAGAACCTATGGATGCATTGCCAGCCATAGCGGCTTAGCACTAAAAGGCATTGACATGGCTGGTGGGGTAATCGACCCAGACTATGAAGGTGGAGTGAAAATCATACTATGTAATAACACTTCAAAGCCATTCAAAGTCAAGGAAGGAGACAGAGTCGCGCAACTCATATGCGAATTCTTTGAACCAGCGATCTCAATAGAAGCTATGATTCAGAAGAACGACTCAAACAAAGAGACACGAGGGACAAAAGAATTTGGTTCATCGGGACGATGAATCATAAGAAGGGGGTACTGTCACGGTTTTGTCAGACAACCTATATGGAACATAGATACACTTAATTTACACTTATCATTTCATTTCATCTTACATGTCATGTGACAGGTCGGCCATCAGCCTGACCATATATATTACAACATCACCTGACTCGGCCATCAGCCATCGGCCTTGGCACTGCCCTCGACTAAGTCGCTCAGTCAGCTTACCTCAGCTTCAGTCATCCATACCAAATGACTTAGATAGTGCCACCCGGAGCTCCGTCATGCTGCACTATTCATAGACACCAATCATATTATTAAGGACACATCGTATGATGGTAGTGCTAGCCAGTAGGCATCATGGAAGGTACTTATCTAAGTACTATACAGTAGCACTCCTCACATGTATATAAGACCAGGGTGGATGAGAGACAGACCTCAGTCTTATTCTCCTTTGTCCACCGCGACAGCTACTACAGGCCTAACAAGCTTAATACATCTATTCACATCACATAGCCTCGCTCACCACCCAGCTCTGCCACATTAACCAGTGAGTATAAGTGTCAACTGAAGGGGCTTGTCATACAGATCATCTGGTCTTTTACTCCAGAGTACCCTTTGAGGGACTGGGGTTTTAGTTTGTCTATCTTTGTCTACAGCGATCCATGACACCTCCTCACTACCTTCACGTGATTCCTCGCTTGTCGACTCAGCATCAGACTGTTCCATGGATTGGCTTTTCTTGGCAATCATGACCGGTTCCCACTTGCCTTCTGCATACACTTCATAGGGAATCTCGACCACTGATGCTGTTAGAGCCACAGATCAGCAGCAATGGTTGATGTAGTAGCGCAATGGTGTCTCACTTATGTAAACTGTCTGGGTCTTCCACGGCTTCCCATTTGATTCTGTGCAAAGTTGTTCAAAGTCCCATCCTGAAGGAGTGACGTCGTTACACAGTAGAAGTTTTCTGTAGCTCTTTGAGAGCAGACGCCAGACATATGAACCATTTTGACTGATGCCTTCGAGCTGAGAGTTGAGGTACAGGAATGGCTTCAGTAGTAGACCTCGCAGCCATTCATCAATCTCTGATGCTGATCAATCTGTGAAGAAAGTGATCGGTGATGCATCATTGTCTGCATGCACTGCAAGCCTGCACTGGATATATGTGTGTAGCTGATTAGCAGATGGTGCATTATCCTTAGCCAGCTTGTCATTTTCATCCTGCAGGTCTGGTATTTGATCATCAATGTATGGTTGAGATAATAAAAATGCACATCAATCCATAAGGAACCATAACAACTATACCCACTTTGACTGATGTGCTACCTGAGGCTAGCATCCGTTGAGTACCAGTCTTGACCATGGCACTTGGTCGCAAGGCCTTCTGTATGGCATGTGATCAATCTGATGTACTGGATGCTAGTAAAAGAAATGTGCACTTTTCCTTTGCCCTTTGTGCTGGACCCAGCAGCAAATGACTCATTCTTTACATTGCCAGTGTGCCGAAGGCCACTATGAGTCTCTGTTTCCACTTCTGGGGCTGTCGCCTTGAGTCCAGGGCTGAACTTGAGTCTGATTTGAGCTGCAATTCATGGTTTGTAGGAATTCAGGATGTCCTAGATTCCTTGCACAGGTGGCTTGATGTCTGGGTGACAGCTACTCCAGTGTCAGCAGTTACAGCAATGTAGGAGTTCATCAGGCTGCTGGTTCAGATCTTTGACCATGCAAAGACATGTGCAATCATTGTCACTTTCATTCTTGCCTGAGCAGTGTGGTATGGCCATCCACGGAAGGCAGAAAATACTGTAAACTTGAGACACTGCACATCACGCCAAATATACACAGCAGGATATTGCCAGGATTTAATGGAAATTCATGTGGTGTTTTGGCAATATCCAGCCAGATATCCTTGCAATGTTTTGGCAATATCCAGCCGGATATCCTTGCAATGTACATTCATGGATATTGCCTGCCCCTTCCTTGCCCCTGGTCCCCAAGGCCTAATTGACCACACAAAATATATACAATAAATTGCAGCATTGTTACATCTCAGCGGATTCATATATGTTACAGACACTATAATATTTGACAGTGATCAATCAGTCTGATTTCCGGTATGATATCTTGCTGCATGTACATGCACTATGAGATGAATCATTACAAGTGCTCGCACAATAAAGGAGAAGAGGAGTTTTTACCGTGGGCATCTGATGGCACATCAACTTAGACTTCTTGATCTACATGTTGTACATCCATAGAAGCATGTTGTCAGAGAAGGATATATTGAATCAGTGCAGCACACATCAGGAAGGACATGGAGAAGAATCATGGATTTTGACTGCACTCCTCCGGGCCCTCCTCATTGCCTCGCAACCTGTCTTCTGCATGCTCATGGTGCTGCCAGAGTGAAAGCCACCCATCACAAAGACAGAAAAGACTGATCACTCACACTCACCTCCAAACAGCAACGCTGCTAAACGTCCTTGATATGCTACTTCTCCTGCATCATCTCTCACTGAGAGGATCATGCATACATGTCCAGCGAGCTCACCACCCAGAACATCGATCCCTGCTGTATCACAGGGTCCATGCTACTTCAATGACCCATTCTGGAGGTCAGGCAGCACTCAGTCAGCCCATGTCACATCTACTTTGAGCAATCAGCCAATCTCTGGTGCACTGGGTTCATCCTCCATCTGCGCTACTGTGATGGCACCGCCAATGCAAGTTACAAGCAAAACAATGTCAGATTTGTTCAAAAAACTCGATAAAGACTTACAAGAAGTGAAAGATGGTCTTGCATTTCACAACAAGAACTCAAACAAGCTCGCCGAGCAAATTGATCTATTGCACAAAGCTCTTAACCAATGGGGTGATGAAGTGGGGACATTGCAGAAATATCTGAGGAGTATGGTATTGAACCATGAGCACACTGTCCAGCACATCTCTGCATTAGAAGGAGAGTGCAACGAGCTATGAAAAAAGATGTATGAGATAAGAGGGTTTCTCTGGAATGAAACATTAGCTGAAGAGCTGAATGAGATGGATGAATGCACCAGTGATGCGGGACATGATGGACGTCTTGAAGTACAGCGCAAATTGCACAAGAAGGGCCATGATAACCCTCTGCATGTGAGTGCAATGATAGCATTCCTGATATGCAGCAATTAACAAGATAATCACTTACAGGCAGTGGTATGCAGTGCATTGCAGTGCCTAATGAGGATAGATAGCAAGACGACTCCACCTGCACCACTTGGCCGAGGACAATTCCATGTATGTCGATTGCATCTTCTTCATCACTAGGTGCATCTTCTGTTGTGTCTGAGAGCCCATCTTTGACTTCATCATCCTCAGATGCCAGTAGCTCTAGCATTGCACAAGAGGCATTAGACTCTTCATTACCAGCAAAGTCACCTTCATCATCAAGACTAGCCACAGGTGACACAGTATCCTCAGCATCCAAGCAAGAGTGGAGCATGTCGAGGTCTTCATGAGGCTGCCAGTCCCACCAGAAGTCATTTTAATGTAGTTCTGGTGTAACAGGCTGAGAAGGCCTGTCAACATCACTTTGATGAGCAGAAGAGCATACCATTTCCTCAGGCTCCACACCCTCTGACCCAGCCACACTCTCAAATTGCACAGCCTGAAACTGCTGCTGATCACATATGGAGGCCAATTTTGCCTCGATATCTTCTTCCTCATCTCTCTGAAGGTGCTTTTGAATGGTTTGAGCAATCTGAAGGCCTGCTTTGGAATCTGCAGAACAGCGCTGGCATGCACATAGCTTGTGATGAGTCAGATAGGCCAATGATGATGGTAATGATATAGTCTTGGTGTGTCTATGAGCTGGCATTGAGATAGAGACAAGAAGGCATATATTTGTTGACTATATGCAGTCGATATTTATGATGGCCCCAGCATACGTGCGTGACTTAGATGTGACATGCACTGAATTACGTGAGCATATTCTGCCTTATCCTGTTCAGAACATCACCAGGATATTTGCCTCGAAAGATATTTCCAGGATATTGCTGGGACATTTCAACTTTCCTGGCAATATCCTTCTGGGATATTTTGAGTCAACATGCAGTGAGAGAGATGAGTTCATGAAAGGCAAGTGGCCACGTTCAAAATCTGCTTGACATTTTGGTAGGTTCTGCTGATCGTGTTGCTCTCAATTTGGATATTGGCTGCCCTTTTATGGTAAATGCTGACTTCGCATCAGTGACATCTATTCTACTGTATTTCTCCAATTTACAGCAGGTTATGTCTGCAGATGCCAAAAAAAACAATATCATTCAGAAGGGATGTCTATTATTCTGCTAAGGGTATCCAAAGCCTGTATCCACAGAATAGCTCTGGGAAACCAGATATCCTCTGGTACTGCTATGTCAATGTATTTACCCCTCTTGCCAACCTTGAGTTGCTCTGTCTGCGGATGGCTGTGATCACTCCACTCATATAGAAGGACACCATAATCTTGTGGGATTATATTTGCTTGCTGAACCTCTGCAAAGATTTCATAGAAAAGGTTTTCTGCATCTTGCGAGTTGAATGGATTTGTACGTTGAACAACTTTGATAGGTGCATGGCGGATATTTGACTCTTGACTATCTGCAACATGGTTCTCGAGCTCCTCTGTAATTGCATCTTCATCCACTATGGCCTCATCCTGTTCATCCAGCATATCATCGTCAAAGCCATCCTCATCATCAGGATGCTCAGCATCAGTCTGGCCTGTGCACCGTTGTTGAATGCTACCAAAGGTGCCATGATATCGATCAATTAGTTCAGGGTGAACATTGGCAAGGGGATCTTCTGCATAAACACCCTCTGTTGTTTAGCCAAGCAGTCACATATCCTGGTGAAGGCACTTGGCATGAAGATTCATGGGCTTAGTCTGTATGCTCACCATCAGACTCTGATTTTTGTCTGAGGACCAGAGATTGGGTGGCTATTCCATTTGGCAATAAATAGGTGACAATCCTGATTGATCATGTTCAGGAATAGCACATGTATTAGCCAAATGTGCACCAGTTTCTTCCTATCGAGCCGGTGGAGATGTCCGAGTCATATAAAGAATGCTCGCCATCTTCGTGCGAATTGAGTTCCAACCTCTACGCAAATTCATTCAATATGGGTATTCCTATTTGCTGTTACTGCACAGAAGACATATATTTAATCTAAATACAACGCATGATCCCCACATGAATAAGGCACGAGCAGGGCCTCAATGCATTATCATTCATACAGAGACTCCAACGTTCTCTCCACCACAGTCTCCCTGCACATGTGAAGGTGTTCCATGCTTCTTGATGGTGGCCTCAAGGAACATGTCGAGGACAGTACTTGCATGATTGTTTGTGCTAGCTCGTAAGCCTGTTAGCTGCAGATAATGTCACAATGAGACCTATGGTTGGGAACAAAATAGGAAAGAAATGCACCATTCGGCAATAGCCATCAATGAAGCCATGAATGACAATCCCCCACCATATCAGCTTGTGATGGCCATCACAATGCCATAGTGTGTTCAGATGTGTGATCTCATACATTTGATGTTGTATCGCCTCGTGTCGGTGAAGAATTTGACCTCGTGCATCAACACGATGGAGAAAGTCCCTGACAAGCTCCCTCTGCACTCGCAGACCTTGCAAGTGGAGAAACTCGATGACATAGTGCAATCTGGACTTAGGCTTCTGCAACTTGTAGGCCTAAACTATTGTGTCCAGCTCATTGGGTGCCATAGCAGAGAAGTGTCACAATCTGAGGCTGGAGGGGCACACATGTGGCAATGGGCAGTGCCACCACCAGTGTATTTGTATATATGTACACAGGTACTATATAGTGGGGAGCGCTGGGAGACGGGGTCTCCAGCGTTTTGCCTCAGAGTAACCACGACGTGCGACGTGACTCAGCTACTCATTGCCGCCCTCGGACAATGGCCAGCGGCGATTTTCTACAAGAAGTTCTTGCAAATCCCTAGCAACCTCATGTGATGGTGCAGTGTATGTCTGTGTATGCCAAGTGTATGGGCGAGACTTGAGACTGAGATGTTACATGCAGAGGACATGACTTCATGTAGATAACCAGCATGCATGATCTTTCGAGGGCGTCCGGGCTATCCAGTAGGTACTACAGTCACTGGCTGGGTGTAGATGATGGCACTATGCTCACTAAATGAATTTCGTATATGTGGGAGCAAGCAATAGTCACAAATTTGAAGAACTCACTGTCCATGTCTGAACATGTCGTCCAGTCGGTCCACCCCTCACCCATGCGAGCAAGTGATATTTGGTCGCTTGCATGTACAGTGAGCTGATTGACACTGTTACTGTTCCTGAACTACATTCACTGATGCAGCATGTTTAGATGTACAAATTGGTGTTTGGATCATGCCTGTTCCACTTCGCATTCCCAGATGATGCGCTGCTGGGTGCGGTGGCAACACTGTGCAGTGAGGTGTCACCAGGATGGCAGAGCTATTGAGAGTCACACGAATGGCTTGGAAGCTTAGGTGCATTTGTAATTGGGGCCTTGCTCTGGGTGCGGGTGCACTGGCTGATTGACTGGAATTGAATAGATATCTCGTGCAAGGCTGCTGATGCTGGATGGGCATGCCGACTAAACAAACTGCATGAGAGATGCCGGAGAGATGCACACGCAGGCAGAAGTTGAGCAATTTTTCATGCTTCTTCACTTCATGCTCAAGATCAAGCCAGAGCATTGAGTGAGTGTGGAGGACGTGCTACAGCATCTGTGGTTTGCACGTGTAAATGATGCGTCCGTGCAGCGTGAGACACTCCCTGTGTATCATCTATAGGATTGGTGCTGACTATTGACTTTTTTTCTCCTTGAAAATTATCTCATTTGCTGAAGTGAGACACTGCCACCCGAGCATCATGTAATAGGCCATCATAGAAAATATCTCTTGGTGAATATGTGACTTCGCTTTCTTGCACACTGCTTCACTCACCACTTGGGCTCACTGTGCTAAGCTCTTTGTTCCTCAAAACTGCCTGGCGCTTTTCATGATGGTGATATCTTGAATGGTTTATGGGTTTGCTGCTGATCTGATGTGATATCAGGCCTTTCGCTTTGACAATGTCACGAGTGTTCCCTCGTGCTTGATTTCCTATCTCTCTGCTGATTGCCTATCTTTAGTGTGCACCACATTTGTGCTATTTTTGATGCTCGTTGGCATTTTGGCTGGTGTGGTCACCGAGGCTACTACATCTGTTATTGTGCGGTCACTGTACTTGTTCTTCACAACACTCTGTTTGTCGCTGGTGGCTCCTGATGCATAGTTTCTTTTTAATGTTCGATGGGCAGGCATTCCCCATTGTGTTAGGTTCACATTCCTTGCTTGCGATGCACTTGGCCATGAAGTATCATGGTCAGCTTTGACAGAATAAGCCCACATCTGTTTGGGACAACGAGGTGTGTTCTGTCACCCTCGCTGTCCCCTTTTCATTTCTCGTAACCTGCCTTTCTTTTCATGTCCTTCAAGCTTCAAGAGTTGGCATGCATCCATGGTGTTGTGGTCAGTCACCAGCAACATACAGTCGATGGTTTGAGTTGCGCTCCTCACCGCTGCTAAGTGACATGCCCGCCTACTCTGTCTGTGTTCAATTTTCCTAATGACAGTCTCTACAGCATTGGTTCCGGTCACTATGTGACCTTTTTCTCAGGGAAATTACGTTGTCGCTTTCCTACCACTTTCAGTGCTGGTGGTGGTCATGGCGAGCAGTATGCCTTTGCCAGTGTAGTGGACTGCTCGCACCCTCCTCTTCTCAATGATGGTAATGTGATTGTCTCCGAGATCCTGATTATTTTCTTGCTTCAATGACTGCCATTTGATGTGTGCGAGGACATTGCTTGCAAGCATGGTATGCCTTCTTCCAGACACACACTGACCATGGACGAGTTGATCGAGAAAAGAAGGGCATCTTCATCTTTGGCGGATAGCAGACACATGTTGTGGAGTACACTGTGCAAGCATCACGAGAGGTCCTGTCACGTTCAGTGGCACCAGGCAAGAAATGGATGAGCATCTCCAGGAGATTGTACAGCTTGTTTATGTACCTCTTATCCACCCCACTGGTCCTGATCTCTTATTTGAAACCAGCACTGCCATGCCAACTGCACCTAAGGAAGAGAGAAGACGATGAAAACTCTATTTGTGTGAGCAGTCTGAACTTCGGACTGCTCCGAAGATGTCATGCATGACCACCCAAGAATGCTAATCTGAGTACGCGAGTAGTTCATCACATGATCATCTGTCAGCATTTATTACTACACATCAATGAAATACTGTCATTATCGTAACAGTTGAACAACGATAACTGATACAGAAGAAGGTCATGGGCATGACTAGATGTTGAGGAATGCGATAGGGCTACATAAGTCATTGCAAATGAGAAATTGAGTGAATGCCCAAGAAGACTCCAAAACTAGAAAACCTGTCATAACAGTATGTGCATGCGCTCAAGCCAGGTTTCTCTGCCCAAGCACCCCACAATTATTATTGAGTGCCTCCACCACATACTCACAAATGACTGCACTGAAGAGCTTGCTGTTGCTCTTATTCTTCAGAAGCCAATTGTCATAGCACCCACTTGAGAGCTTGTTGTTCTTCACATAGATGTGCACACAGCTGTCATTCTGCCTTGAATTGAGGCCCATGCACTGGCAGTACTGAGGCAGCCTGTGATGTGTGAATCTCATTTGGGCTGGTCGGAGACACATGAACGTCACTTCTGTCGACCATCAATGCATTAAGGTTCAAGTCAGTACAGTATGTAGGGGAACTAGTTGCAGTTCTGCACTCACTTTGTCACCAATATAGTCACCACAGGGTATGACTCAGTTAAATTTGGGAGCCTTCCATCAATGTCCTGTAGAGCATGTCTGAGCCCAAGGTTGTATCCTGAATACACAAAATTTTGAATAACATACACTTGTATTACTATTAAATGCAATATTAAATGCAATGAACCAGTCCTTGATGATGAGCAACTCAGGCTTGAGGTCAGTGTCTGTGATGCTGTAGGGGTATATCACGAGCAGTGTCACCACCGTGCCATCAATTATCACATTGATGATCGCTGAAGCCATTGCATTCGTAGCTGTGTAAAAGAGTAAACTGCCAGAGCTAGGATTCTTTAGTGAGGTTCTGATAGAGTCATTGATAGAGGAGAGTCACCAGAGTAGGAAGCGGTAGTCACTTGTCCACAATCACACAAAAGTATGCAAAGTCCACAGTTCCACAGCCTACTAGTCACAGGATCTCGAGTTGAGATAGTTTAGCTCACACAGAGACTTCAAGGGGGGAATTTCTCCATTATTAGGTGGGAGGTGGCCCTTATATAAATGCTAGTGACAGATTATTGTGCAGCAGCAACATAGTGTAGTCTCTGATGGAAGGGATGCTATCGTGTGAGAATGTGCTCAATAAGGTAACTGTCTAGACATATAAGGAAACAAATGATATAAAGAAGTATGAGAAAACATGGAGCTGTGTCCTCAGCGACAGACTTCAAATGATGATCTGGCAGAAGAGGTGAGCATGAACTTATTGTGTGTGTGCCTCTCTGGCATCACTCATGCACTTTTTTTAGTTGGTGTGCCCATTCAGCATCAGCAGCCTCACGTGAGATATTCATTCAATTTCAGTCAATTAGCCAGTGCACTCACACCCCGAGCAAGGCCCCAACCACAAATGCACCTAAGCTCCCGAGCCATTCGTGCAACTCCCAATAGCTCTGCCATCCCAGTGGCATGTCCCTGCACAGCATCGCCATCGCACCCAACAGCACATCATCTGAGGATGCTAAGTGGAACAGGCACAAATTCACACACCAATATGTACATCTAAACATGTCACATCAGTGGATGTGGTTCGAGAACAGTAACAGAGTCAATTAGCTCACCATACATGCAAGTGACCAGATATCGCTCACTCACGTGGGTGAGGGGTGGACCAACCGGACAACATATTCAAACATGAGCTCCGGCACACATACTGCAGCCGGTGTAGACAATAAGTGCATCTCCTCGTTGACTGTGATCACTGTTATGCACTGTAAGCACTACTCCACCTCTATGTCCTGAAATGAATAGGTACCAATGATGTCCCAAATCCATAATCACCATGCAGAGGGGCATGTCCGCAAATATGGGATCCTTCCTCATCAGGTAGTGAAAGATCGAAATCGTGTGCATCAGATATGGTGGGAGTGCCTCTGAGTGCACTGGAGGCATGGTCAGGAGGATGATAGTGCACTCTGGGTTACCAAGGTAGTCTATAATAGACTGTGGGGGGTGTTCATTAAGTGTGGGCAGGGCAATGCTGATGTTCCCTGAGTGGAGATCTAGGTAGTCACGTTAGCAGTGTGCTGTTAGCCTAATCCCAAGAAGTGACTCCACAAACCTTCATGCACAATCCCATGCTGATGCAGCACCACGAGCCCACACATGATCTGGTGACAGAGCATGCGAGCATGCTTATGCCCCCCAGGCGCATTCACAGCATTAAAGAGGTTTCCAAGCACATCGTGCATGAATACCATGTGCACGTCATTCGGGTCGTGCAGCAAGAAGCTGTTGTGCAGCTGCAGCATATTCTGCATCTCGTCACTGGCTGGAATGCAGCTGTATATATTGAGTTCATGTTGTGGATCGGCCTTGGCAGTATGATGGTCAGTGATGCAAGACAATGCATGTCATAGTTCAAGATGTTCCTCATTGGATGACTATCCGTAGGCTGTTTAGATATGACTTTAGAACACACATCTGTTCCAGATTGCTTGCCGCAGTTTAGCTGGCATGACAGCATGACATTTTGAAACTCTAATGCTTGTTCCAAATGCACGAATCTGGAGAGGGGGGCACCCCCCTCTCTAGATGTCTCTGAGGCTTTCCAAACAGCTTCAATGCTTTTTCTGACATCGTGCACCAACCAATTGGTGATGATGACAATCTGACTGCAGCTTGCTGATCCCTGGAGGCCTGTCACACTCTCGTGATCAGTGACATGACACGCTCCTCACCATGCAGGCACGTGTCAACTACCCAGTGTCAACATGGACTCCAACATACAGAACCATGTCAACCTCAATGAGGTCAGTAGTACTTATATCGTGGCTTGTGTTCAATTGGGTCTTACCAGTTGATAGATCCCAGTCGACACGCTCAATCAAGAGGTGATAGATCATGTACAGTCTAGTTATCACTACGGCCTGCCACAATCGCAGAGCCTATACCATCCTCCAACACCAGAATTGAGGCCATGGATGTATGCTGGTAACAGTGGCAATGGCATTGCCCAGCTCTCTCACACTCTTGCTGATGCTGGGGAAAGAAGTCAAGGCCATGTTGTGGAACAGAGCTCCCATGTCAATCATCAGCCACTGCTACCATCAGTGGCAAGTCTAGGTCTTCTACCTCAGGTCAATCACAGCAACCATACAGTCAACCACTCATATCCAGTACATTTTCCATATTCTCCTGACTATCATTCTCGGCAACAGTTTTCTCCAGATGATGCAGTGCTCCATCACGCAGTGGCCACTTTTGCATCACCTCAGATTGCTCCAAATCCTCGGGTGTCACAGCTGCAGCAAGTTACCACTGCTAATTTATTGTCAGCCTCACCAATTGACCCCCTGCGTGAACTGGCATATGCAGCAACCACTCAGTCTGTGCCAGCATCCCATCAGCCATTCCAACAAGAGCACTCATGTGTCATGATACCACACCTTGAAGAGGAAGACTCCTCGCAATTTGACAGCATGGACAAGGAGGAGGTCAGACAGCAAATAGCATTGACTGAGGCCACGAACTCTAGATGCATTACAGCAGAACAAGGCATTAAAGGCAACAAACAAGATAAGAAAAAGAAGAAGAAGAACATGCCTATGGTGAAGAATCACCGCAAGTCGAGCAAGGCTGGTGTCGCAAATTGCAGCAGCGTAAAGTGCGTACAAGGTGTGAACAAGGCAGCAACAATTGGAGTGAAGTTCACATTGGCCAAGCCATCCAAGGCACAAGTAAGTGACGCAGTCATAGACCTTGCAATGTCAGATCTCTCAAATGCAGAGCTAAAGCTGAAGAAGCGTGACAGTCATGCGAGGGATGCTAGCAACTTCAAGAACAATGAGGTGATGGAGCTCTTGCACCTTGTGAATGGACATCAACCTATAGGACAGAATGGATCATGTTTAAAGTCGAGGTTGCCTACAATGCATATGCTGTGGCCATGGATCGACCATGACATGAGATGCGTGCAAAATATTTCAAGGTAGGTTTAGTCTTATCGCTGTTTATCAGGTGTCTGATGTGTCTCACTGTAGCTCGCAAACTCCACAAAATCAACCAGAAATCCTGAATGCCCTGAGGATGTCAGAGAAGCCAAGAGGATTAACAGAAGGATTGAGCAGGCCGTTGAGATGGGAGATATCAGTAATGTGCCACTGCCAGAGGAATGGGAGAATGACAAGAACCTTGGTTCAGAGAGCGAGAGCCACTTCAGGCTCCCCCCTCATGGTACCTCTTAGGCTAAACTTAATCACTTCAGACTTGAACCTAATAGGCTTTTGAGTGGTATTACCCAGTTCTGGTCACATTTGAGGGTGCTTTTGGACATAATTAAGAGTATTATTCAGATAAATTGTGGGAGCGTTTTGACAAGTTTTTGGGTGCAGCCTGGGAGTGTTTTGACGTGTTTGGGAGTGTTTCTGGTACTTAAACTAACTCATTACAACACTTATCAGATGGTTTTACCTAGGTTTTGTCACTGTCATAGGGTGTCAGGGGGCTTAATTTGAGAACTTTCCTGGATCATAAAATTGATAAATTCTCCAAATGTTTTTTTAAACATTCTGACCTAGTCTGATATAAATGTATAATCATTATATTAGTACACTGATAGGAATGAGCTGATGAGAATTTTAGGTAGCTCGGTATTACCGGTTGAATGCTGTGCTTCATTTGAAGTGTGCATTAGCAGTTTGAACTGATAAAATAGATAAAGTCCATGCAAGATAATATCATTTACCTTGGATGTGAACTTTCATGGCTCATTTTGCAATATTGCTCATGATACTGTGTGCATCAATCTATCTTTGGATAGGTCTGGACAGTTCTAGGTCAAATTATAAAACTATTCAAGTTATAATCTTCATGAGTACAGACAGACCATAACCCACTTGGATGGGTCTGGACAGTCCCAGGTCAGCTTGTTGGACTATCCATATCATAATATTTATAGCTACGGACAGACCATAATTCACTCGGATAGATTCAGACAGACTCGGATAGATCCAGACAGCCTCAGGTCAGGTTAATAGACTATCCAAATCATAATTGTTATGAGTATGGACAGACCGTAACCCACTCAGATGGGTTCAGACAGTCCCAGGTCAGCTTAGTGGACTATCCAAGTCATAATCATTATGAGTACGGACAGACCGTAACCCACTCGAATGGGTTCAGACAGTCCCAGGTCAGCTTAGTGGACTATCCATGGACACTTTGAACTCAATACATTTCTGAATGTGAATGCACAAAGCTGTCATATTTAAAATATCTCAAAACTATCAGATATCTAATCTACAAATCGCCATTTACGAGGTGACCAGGTCTCATTGGACAAATGAAGGTCACTTTCAAGGCCTTCATTGCCAACAGCACTTGACATGATGTCAAGGAAGTCATTAGAGTGATAGGCATCACTCAATGCAACTGACTCCAGTGCATCTAACAGCTCATCCTCCTGGTCATCACCACCTAAATCACCAAAATCACAAAGCATGTCATCATCATCTTCATCAGCCACTGACAGGGTTTCTGCACCTGCTCCACCCTCATTCCACTGTCCCACTGCCTCATAGATTGCTGCATCTAGCAATTCTCTCTCCAATGACCCCCAGCAAGCTGGCATCGGACGATCACTAGGGATGGTGTAGACTTGAGCCTGCCAGGTTGCACAGAGTCAGCAAAGGTTCGCTTTGTGAGCATCCAGCTGATAGACCATGTTGTGGTCAGTCGCTTCAGCTGTGCATTAAGGAATAAGTTATCAAATAGACCATCTCAGAATAATTGCTGCAACTTACCTGCATGGTGTCGTGCGTGTTGGATGCATTCCCGTTCCTCATTCAGCCACTCTTGCATGGCATAACGCTCCTCACATAGGCTCATCTCTTCTTCCATGCAACAGTCGAGCACAAGCATTGCCTTAATTCCAGCATGAACAGTCTCATCACCAAGCCAGCACGGCACTTCAGCACTGGTCTCATCATCATCGAGATCTATGTCCTGCCAAATATCATCATCGATGTCAAGCTTAAAGAGCCCACTCATCTCGATTGGCACTGGAGCAACTGTGTGAGCTGGTGATTTCTTTTGCTGGATGAGGCTGATGAGTTGCTTGCACAAGGCATTGTAGGCCTTTGTGAGCTTAACAATCCCAGGTTCACGCCGCTTCACTGAACTTTTCGTGTGTGAAGTGAGCTTTCACTCTAAACATATATCAGTATGATCGACGCTGAATATTAAGAACAGAAACAGATGACCTACCACTGACAGTCTGCCGATATGACCATTCAATTCGCTCAATTTCAAACTTTCATTGTCGCAGGCGATCACAAATGTGCTGCTTCAGAGCTTGCGCATTCATGCCGATATGCAGAAACTCATCATTAAGAAGCCTCTTGAGCTTCATGTGGTCACTGATGCCCAGCGTGGCCTTTTTGCTCACGATGGTGTTGGATGTTTGAGCAGCTCCATGACAGGCTTCCTCCAGTTGCAAGGTGAGCTCAGCAACATTGATGGAATTCATGGGCCTCATGAGCTTGCCCTCCAAGTCACGAATGGTGGCCTTGTATGCATCGACACTCCTCTGCAGTGTCAGGATCACCTCAATGATGTGGTTTGCATGGTTCTTCGTCTGACCTAGAAATGAGCAACATTTGTATGTTAGCTACCATCTGTAGAAAAATATATAACTTACGAGGGGCTGGCTTTATCTCTTTCTTGATCTGAGCCTTCCACTCTGTCTGTAACACACTCTCATCGATTGGGCAGTCCACAAGATCCTTTTGCATCGCATGCTTCTTGTCTTGACACTGAGTGAACTTGTGATGGAGCCAATGCCCAAGTCGCATGAGAGATTGCTCGTCGAGGTGTTTGCTTGTGCATCCAACATGAACAATCTTTGATGATACTAATAACAATCAGTCCATACCATCAACAAAGATTGTGGATGCTGACTCACCCTGAAAACACGTAGTGTCAGAATCAGAGGTTGGATGGAGCTCCAAAATCGCTCACATCCTTCCCCATCTGTCAGACCAAAGTCAATGCACTTGTGAAGGTGATAAATGACTTGGCAGGACCATTGATGGCTGAATGCGTGAAAGATTGAGGTCACGAACTGAGTGTGATCCAGCAGATGGTCATCGAGGAGGCCCCATTTAATGCAGCTGCAATGAAGCTGGCACGCTATGTCATACAGGATGCCGATGGTTGCATCTGGCAGAATGTGTTCGAAAAGTCAGGAAATGAGTGCGAGGGCATAGTATTGACATTTGCCAGCAGATGTCATATTGACCAGCCAAAGCACATGATCGTGTCGACACAATAAGGCCATGAGCCCTGTGTCAGCAAAGAACTGTGTGCTCGCTTTATGATGCTTCTCATCAGCAGCCAGGAATGACTTGTTGCAGCCATCCAGCACTGAGACTGGTATCTTAAGGTTGCCCTCATAGCCGTCCTCTGCATCGTCACTGCACAACCGATGATCATTTTGAGACAGGCCGCTGCAAAATGGCCATAAATTCTCCACTCATTCTTCCATGGCCTTGACATTGGCTTCCGGCACAGAAACAGTCTCCGCATGAGGTCTTGGGTGGTCTCATCCATCGCCCTTGCCTTTGCATCGCTTTTGGGTGAAGCATGCATCCAGGCATGTGATATAATCAGGCCTAAGACCATGGTGTATTAGAGGTATGTATGCATTATCCAATGAAGCAAGATACTTACAATCCATTGTGGTGCGACGCCATGAAGCCTCCGAAGCATAAAGGGCAGCGTGACTGAAGATATTCACTCAGTCGATGTTGCTTGTTCAGCAGTAGCTGTGGAACTGGCATTGTTGTCATCCTCGAAGTCACTCATCTCTGTGATTCAGGAGGACAGAGCACATGGATGCCGTGCAAGCGTACATTGAACAAATGATCATTACTTACAGTTGAGTGAAAATGAGCATGGCATACCTTGAGAATCAGATGGGCTAGCAACATTCAAGCACTGAGCCAGATCCTCGTGTGAGCATGCTGCTTCAATCGTATCCTGGACCAACCAGTTGGTCACATTAATGAGGTTTAAATACCAGAGAAGGGTGTTCCTGAATCTCCGGCGCAGTGAGTCCTGCCACAGAAATTTATCAATCAATTAGTCACAGCGAACAAAAAGCGCAGACTTACTCTCATTGTGAGCTTATACTTCATGTGGCCTAGGAATGCCTCCATGGTCATGCAGAATGATGTCGTATTTGGAGGGAGCCAGAGAAACAGCTCCTGGGTGAACTAGAGAAGGTTGAGATCAACAGCTAGTGTCGGAGCATGGGGCATGCACGGGAACAGTCCTCGTGAGAGAAGCTGGAGGGTGGCACGTGAACACTGGCATATACTGAATTGAATGTTCTCCAAGCCTTGTGAACCATTAGTCAGGATCTTCAACTTGTCAGCAGATGTGAAACGACTCATGTTCAAAAAACACGCAGATGATCTGCAGCATTCGAGCATACTTTTGACCACAAGTGCACGGTTCCTGAGAAAGACGCTGCACCTTGTAAAGTGATTCTGACTTGCATAGGAGCTTCAGATGGGGGTGGAGCAACGAGGGTATAGTCTCAGTTGCCCACTGTAGTCACTGCCCTCCTTCTTGTGCCCTTCCCTTGCATGACACACTTCGAGGTCTTCTGGCAGGTAGGTCATCAGGACACCATCAAAGAGTGAGTCGCTCTCTGGTTGGTGAGCCTCTGCAAATGCATCGTCAGATCATCGAGCAGCCAAGCTGGATGGCAGCTGTGAGGGCCCTGAGTGCTGCATGTGGTGGCCCTTAGATGGATTGACTTGAGTATATGTGTCTCCACTGGGCAATGCGATAACCGCATCGCATCCAGGTGTGTGGCAGTTCTTGAGACCTTACGGGCATCGGACACAAGGGGTCTCAGATGGCTAAAGATACTGTATATTGGTCTTGAGGGGTTGGTTGCTGCCTGAACGTGCAGTGCTCTCCGACTGTGAAGAAGTGCACTTTGATGCTGCAGTAGAATGAGAGGTGGGGCTGGTAGATGATGTGCATGCTGGATTGCGCCGATGGAACGACATTGTGCTGCTGTGGATAAGGCCACAAATTCATTGAGTTAGAATGAAATACATGAAGAAATGACCACGCACCAGTGGTACCCAAAACACCCAATGTACTCCAACCTCTGCTAATGATTCCTACTCTTCGAGGCGGACATACTCTCTGAGGCAGGCATACTCTCCAAGGGTGACATGCTCAGCAGGAACATGTAATCTCCTCAAACAGATGTGCTGAATGGGACACGAGCCTAGCAGAAAGTTCTTCCAAGCGCTAGCATTGCAAAGAATCACATTGAAGTCGTGCCACCATGTCGTTGTTTGGTACCAGGCAATCGGCAGTTCAATATCCATTCTGAGCTGACGATGAAGAAGTTAGCAGCATACTGTAGCAGTATGTGAGTGCAGTGGCCACACACGCATACAGAGTGCACTGTATCCCTTCAGTTCCTAGTAGCATAGTAGCAATGTATAGCATAGCTTTTGTCACTGCAAAGAAAGGTACAACTTCAGGCCTCAGGCCTCAGGTCCCATCGGGAATTTGTTGGAGAGCGCGAACATGCAAATGAATCAGCGATGAAGTCATTCATTTGAAGAGTAGTGGAGAGATAGACTATTAGGCTCAAGCATGAGGATGAGGGTCGAGGTCATGAGATAGTCTGATGAAGTCGGATGAAGGCAGACTCGACGTGTTGACTAAGTTGATCACCTCCCAGCTCCTGGTCAGCTTCTGGTCTTTCCCAGTGTGCGTCTACTTCTCTGTAAACACCTCAAACTATGCTATCTCCTCTAGCTTCAGACTGCTTCATCATCATTGGATCTCTAGCCACTTCATCTGCCCTGTTCTCTTCGCTGCTCGAGTCTCACAGCAACTTTCACCATCTGGCCAGGATAGCTCAAGGTCACAGCTTGAAGCGATGCAAGCGCGAGCAAGAAGGCAATGCCATGCATGACTTCTGGAGTCCTGGACTATTCAGGTGAGTCTCATTCTCCGTGGTTGCCCATTTGTCATGTGAGTTTGCTCTCCTCGTGTCTGAAGTCTCTTGCGATGACATGACCACACCTCATCATATCTGAACGGCGATGACTCCGACTCATATTCGAGGACTGTCATGAATGAGAGGCTTGCTCAAGCTCAAGCTCAACTCCCTTGATCTTACCGGCAAGGGAGCAGATGGTGAGTTTGAAATTGCAGATTTGGATCTGGCGATTCCTGACTGAATAGCTGTTTCCTTGACCAAATAACACTGCGCCATTGCCATTCAGGTCTGCCAGTCATGATTGCTCAGTTTCGGGATGGTGCTGGGCCAAATGCAGTGACAGCAGCACCGTATAGTAGAAGGATGTGGAGGGGCTCTCATCTATTGTGGTAAGCTCACTGCTCATTCTACAGTGCTGACTTAGTAACCAGATCTTCCTGGTCTTCTCTCAAGATCTTTCCATGGTTTGTTTTTGTTAACAACGAGCTTGTCAATCATTTTCCTCCCCATCTCCAACCATGCCTTGCACCAGGTCCACTCATCCTCCCCTCGCCAAAGAACGTCCACCCATGGCATGTCAACTGTGTTCTAGTCACCGCGGGGCTCCAGCAGAGTCAACAATGCCTCAATGTGCCCGTGGAAAGGCAGAGGTCACTGGGAAAAATGTTGAGGGTTTCATTCACAAGGTACATGCTTAGGCCAGCGATGCATGCATTTTATTTACAGGCATATTCTCAATGCCGCTAGACTGTGCATCAGACCAGGATGAATTCAAACAAAATGGCATCTTCGGCCTCTGAGATGCACACTTCGGCTCTCAGCACTGCAGAGATGGTCATCAGATCGAAGAGAAAAGGGGGGGTCAGGAAGGCGAAGGTGAGCCATTACCTTGCGATTGTATCACTTCCTTCTCACTGACGATGCAATGGCAAGAATGGCACCAGAATGGAGAATGACGAGCCCAAAGACTTGGAGGAGCCAGATCTGAACAGTGGGGAGCACAGTGATGTCCAGCCAGCTGGTGAGCATTATCAGCATGACAACGGCGAAGAGATTGAGGTGGCGCAGAGCGGCAGTGGCATCGACAACGAGCAACATGTCGATGATGACGAGGAGCAACATGTCGAGGACCATGAGCCAGAGGTCATCGAAGATTATGAAGAGCAGACTGTCGACGAAGATGAGGCAAAGATCGATGAGTACCACCAGATTGAGAATGATGAAGAGGTGGATATCAGCTTTGGAGCTGATGTGACGGTGAACAACAATGAGAGTGACCGTGACCATCAACGCAATATCAACAACAATGCTGATGCAGCAAATGGTGGCAGAAATGCAAGTAATAGCCAGATTGAAGAGAATGATGAGGCGCAGATGGGTGATGGCTATGGCAAAGGCAGAGATGACTCAGGCAATGTCACCGGCCATAGCGAGGATGAGGATGAGGCACAGTGGTTGATGAATTGCAAGACAGTGAGTAATAGAATTATCTTTGTGGCTTTGTACTGATAATGACATAGAATGAAAAGCTACGCAATGCGAGGACTAGGTCGAGAGCATCCAACATCTGTACTTCCACCAAGTGCCACCCTCACATTTGTGCAGCTGATCTCTTTGATGACGATAGCAGTGTGCTCGATGGCAGAGCCCTGCACGAAATGAATGCACTCCGAGAAAATGATGGTCCGTCCTTTTTTCTTTCATGCTTCAACCACTAAGGACTGACATTGTGTCAGATATTCTTGAGTCAGATGCATCTGGTAGCAACTTCAGCAATGCAGCCAAGAAGCTTAACTGCCACACTTATCGTGCAAGAAGGGACATGAACGACCAGCTGGACAACCAAGAAAATGATCACGAACATGATGATGAGTTCATGCCCAATGTCATCTCCACTGTCTCTACAAGCCGTCACCAACCATGTTATGAGGCTCAAGACCCCAAGAGTCCCCCTCATCTTACCGCAACTGAGAAGGGCAAGGCCCAAAGTCTAGCTGAAGGGAGCACAAATGCTGACAGAGGGTGGTCAAAGATGCTGGGCCCTTTCTCACAGGCTGCCAAGGACAAAGTGGCCAAGCTTGGATGTGTAACGACCACGGAGGCTGAGCACATCGCTCAGAAGTATGGCAAGAACCTCACGATGTACTGCTGCATGCCGGGCTTGGCGTTAAAGTGTCGCGTGCAGCGAACACCTTCAACAAGTACCAGCAGTGGTTTGTCTACAATCACGAGAGACCCGATAGCAGTGTGTACAGTGCGACTATATGTTGTGTGTGCCAGCTGACAGCATTCATAGTGACTAAGAAGGACTGGAGCCAGAAGGCTCTGGAAGCATACAATGAGTTCATGGCAAAGCTCCCTGCCGATGACGAAGAAGCACGCAATCTGGTGTTCAAGCTGATACTCGATTTTTGTAATGCTCTGGAGAAGAATCCCGGACTGAAAATGCACACAAAGTCAGCTCACACAAGGATGATGGCTGCCTATGCCCAATTCACCACACTGGCTGCCTCCTATTACAACCTAGAGGACATGGAGGTCTTCGGCGTGATCATCCACAAAGGAACTGATGCTGTCACAAAAGAACTATCTGTCATCTTCGATGGGTCTGACACCATCAAGTCCTTAATTGAGCTCAATCAAGTCAATGTGCAGCAAGTGCTCAACAACTTCAGCGCATGCATATGGTACGTGGCATGCACTGCTACTAATTCTGTTTCATGACTGATGGGTCTGGGTTCTTTGCAGTGTGACTGAACTTGCTGAGAACGGGTTTATCTTGCCCACCATTGGTGGATACAAAGTCAGCTCTAGACACAAGGTGCAGGACAAAGATGAAGATGATGAAGACAGCAGCGAAGATGATGGCGAAGATGGCGAAGGCGATGATGGTGCAAACGAGTGAGGGGAAGAAGAGAAGGAGAATGAGTGTGACCAAAAGCGCAGCGTCTTCACGTCCATGATGCAGAAGGCTCTTCGTAAGTTGTTCCTCTTCACATTTACATCCTGTTCTCACTGACCTAAACCCAGAGAAATATATTCAAAAGTGCAAGTTGTGGGTTGCATGGAAGAATTGGTGCAACCTGGCTTACTGCCACAAGATATGGATCATGGACTGGCTGGAAGATGTCAAGTTGTACCCCGGAGATGCAGGTTTTGCAGTCAATAAGCTGAAACCAAATCAGCTTGACCTGCTAGTCGATGGGTACGAGGAGTGGAAGGCCAGTGGAGTCACCGGCCTTCTCTTTCCATGAGTCATTCTATGGGAGACAGGTAAGCCACAAATTTAGTCTCAAGGAGAGCTAACATCAGTAGCAGATGACATCCAGCTGCCCGATGATGATCCAGCAAAGGGGAGAATTGGGCTGGTGGTCAATACAGCTGGCAAGAACTGCAAACTCCTCATGGACTCGAGGAGTTGGATCAAGCACCTCAGCAAAGCTGAGAAGAGGTCAAAGCGGAAGCCAAGATCAGCGCAACTCATGAGAGCTGCCTCAGTGTTATCTGAGCAGGAGGTTGAGGAGGTCGAGGAAGATGAAACGCCACCGATGCTACCTCAGAATGAGCCACGCGCACTCAAAAGGCATAGAGAGCAAGTTTCTGATAACGAAGATGACTCAAACGACGTAGATGAACAATCAGACATTTCCGCCGCTGCTATGGGTCATGCTGGTAGCAAACCTCATTCTCACAATGATGTCAGCAAGAATGCTAAGGTGGGATATCAGTACCGTGAAGATCACGATGGAAGCAGGAAGGCTCATCGCCCTTGCGTTGATGCTATTGGAGGTCCTGCTATACAACGTCCTACCCAGTGCAATGTCACTGTCCTTGCACTGTCTCGACCTGCACTGTCTCCTCCATCTCATCTGACTCGACCTGCACCATCTCATTCAACTCGACCTGGGCTGTCTCATCCAACTTGACCTGGGCTGTCTCATCCAACTCGACCTATGCCATCTCGTCCAGCTCATCCTATACCATCTCATCCCACTCAACGTCAATGACCTTCCATGCCATTTGGATACCCCAGAATGAATTCTTATGGAGCATACATGGCTGGACCTGGCTGGTATCCAGGTGAATTTCAAGGTCACCATGGTTGGGGAGGCGCAGCCATCCCGGGACCTAGCACTCAGTATGACTTGGAGCCTGACCCTAACTTCCAGATGGACTATAATGACTGGCTATTTGAGGGGAGTTAGGAGGATGACATGTATTCTGAGGATCTTGCAGATGTTGCAGATGATGAAAATTTCTCTCAGTAGCTGTAGTGCAGTAAAGCTTTGTATGCTGTGTTCTTTGTAATTTCTTGATAGTCTTGCAATATCTTGAACTCAGATGATCTCAAAGAATCTATTTTCAAAATTGATATAATCTATTTTCCTTGTGTTAGGGTTTAGCTGTGATATGTTCCATTATTCCTGGACTATCCTGAAGTGTATAGAACTGTCCAGCCATATGTTTGAGGAGAAATTCAGCTTACCATGTCAGAGATGTTTTATTTATAACATTCTTGAACTATCCATAGCTATTCAGATAGAACATAGTCTGTCCATAGCCATAAATGTTAGTTATAAAATAGATAGTCCATTGACATCATCTAGGATTGTCCGAACCCATCCGAGTAGGTTACAGTCTGTCCGTACTCATAATGATTATGACTTAGATAGTTCACTAATCTGATATAGGACTGTCCAGACCTATCCAAGTAGGTTATGGTCTGTCCGTACTCATGACGATTATGGCTTGGATAGTCCACTAAGCTGATCTGGGATTGTCCGAACCCATCTGAGTGGGTTACTGTCTGTCCATAGCCATAAATATTATAATATGAATAGTCCACTAATCTGATCTGGAACTGTCTGGACCCATCTGAGTGGGTTATGGTCTGTCCGTAGCCATAAATATTATGATATGGATAGTACACTAAGCTGACCTGGGACTGTCCGAACCTATCTGAGTGGGTTACGGTCTGTCTGTACTTATGAAGATTATAACTTGAATAGTTTTATAATTTGACCTAGAACTGTCCAGACCTATTCAAAGATAGATTGATGCACACAGTATCATGAGCGATATTGCAAAATGAGCCATGAAAGTTCACATCCAAGGTACAGTGACCCACAAAACTGTTGATAAGATTGCTCACTTCAACTTGTATAGTAAATATCTCCTCAACCAATGGGTCAACTACATTGTATAAGAGCTCATTGGAAAGCGTATCATCATTACTTTCTAATGCAGTCTTAATCATATTTTTACCATATTGTGATCCCAAGATATTTACTAATCTTTGAGGGTCACTCTTATCAAGAGTTTTGTGGCACATATCCAGGTTCTACAAAACTTGTACTATCAGTACTTGGTATAGCCTCCCTTTGCCTTCACCACTGCATGCACCCTCCTTGGCATACTTTTAATCAGATTCTGACACACTTCCTTCCCAATAGCCTCCCATTCCTTCTCCACCCTTTCCCACAACTCAGTAATTCCCTTTGGTGGCTCCTGATACTCTGCAAGCTTCCTTTTGAGATGACCCCACAGATGCTCTATGGGATTGAGATCTGGGGATTGAGAGGGCCATATCATAGTGTTGAAATCATGGTCTTTGAACCAATCCTTGGCCTTCTTGCTGGTGTGCTTGGGGTCATTGTCTTGCTGAAACACCACATCCTCCACAGTTTTGCCCCAATCCTCCAGGCTATTCTGCAGCTCATCCTCCAGAATGCTGACATAAAGGTCTGCATCCATCCTGCCATCAATCTTGCAGGCATACCCCACACCATCCCAGCCCATACAGCCCCACATCATCAAGGATACACCTCTAAACTTCTGGGTCCCTTCCACCAACCTATCACTGAGGCTCTCCCCTGGCTTCTTCTACACCCATTTCCTTCCATCTGATCCCATCCTGTTAATCTTTGTCTCATCTGACCATACCACCCTTCTCCAGTCCTCCATAGTCCAATATTGGTGAGCCAAAGCGAAGTCCATCCTCTCCTTTCAATGCCTTGCAGTGAGTAAAGGCCTTTTGCGCTTTACTACAGCCTTCATTCCTGCCTTCTTCAACCCTCTTCACACTGTCTCTGCATTGACAACCCTCCTAGTAACATCTTCAAGAGCTCTGGCCACAGCAGGAGATGTGGTAGCCTTGCCAGTCCCAATAAGTCAAGTAGCATAGCGAAGATTGGCAGTAGAAAGAAGGGAAAGTTGTCCTCCTTTGGCCTTAGAAATGGTGGGACAGTGTGTGGAGTGTACTTTACTGATGGTAGAGTAGTGTAGACCAGTCAAAGCTTCAATTTCTCGAAGCGATTTGCCATTCTGAAGCAAAGCGATGACATGGTTGACAGTTTCAGTAGCAACAGCTTTTGGCATGATGTTGGTTGAGTGTGAAGAGTTGTGTATGGCTGTTTGTACATTGTTCATGTTGAAACATGAACATCAATCAATATTTCCACAAAGAACCCTGTCAACACATCAAGAATCACGATATTCTGAGAACTTGTGTGTGCGCCACAAAACAGTTGATAAGAGTGGCCCTCAAAGATTAGTAAATATCTTGGGATCAAAATATTATAAAAATATAATTAAAACTGCATTAGAAAGCCATGATGATACGCTTCTCAATGAGTTCTTATACAATGTAGTTGACCTATTGGTTGAGGAGATATTCACTATACAAGTTGAAGTGAGAAATCTTATCAACAGTTTTGTGGGTCACTGTAAATGATATTATCTTGCATGGACTTTATCTATTTTATCAGTTCAAACTGCTAATGCACACTTCAAATGAAGCACAGCATTCAACTGGTAATACTGAGCTACCTAAAATTCTCATCAGCTCATTCCTATCAGTGTACTAATATAAGGATTATACATTTATATCAGACTAGGTCAGAATGTTTAAAAAAACATTTGGAGAATTTATCAATTTTATGATCCAGGAAAGTTCTCAAATTAAGCCCCCTGACACCCTATGACAGTGACAAACCTAGGTAAAACCATCTGGTAAGTGTTGTAATGAGTTAGTTTAAGTACCAGAAATGCTCCCAAACACGTCAAAACACTCCCAGGCTGCACCCAAAAACTTGTCAAAACGCTCCCACAATTTATCTGAATAATACTCTTAATTATGTCCAAAAGCACCCTCAAATGTGACCAGAACTGGGTAATACCACTCAAAAGCCTATTAGGTTCAAGTCTGAAGTGATTAAGTTTAGCCTAAGAGGTACCATGAGGGGGGAGCCTGAAGTGCGAGAGCAATGCCGAGGATGGGGATGGGGATGTGGTTGAAGCTAAGAGTGCTGATGAAGATGACGAAGCTGAGGCCAATTCTCACAAAAAGCATGTAAAGACTGTCAAACTGAGTTCAGCACTGAAATCGCATGCAGCCACTGCACGTCGGAATGGGTCCAAAGCTGCAAATCCCTTGGCAAATATCAGTGTGCATTTTGAGGTTGACAAGGCTGATGATAAGAGGCAGGAACGGCACACAGAAGAGCAGCTGTTGTGCTCTGCGCACCTCATCGACCTATTTGCTCGCTGAGATAATCATTGGGATGATCGTCGGGAGCTTCAGCAATTGCATAAAGATTTGGACAAAAGCGGTCATGAGCTTGCCAAGGCACAGCTAGAGAACATTCGCTTGCAGCACCAACTGCAGTTGCAAGCCATGCAACTTCAGTTTAGGATCACAATGTCTGGTAGTGGGCCATTGTGTGACTTTGATGGTGTCGATCTGCTCACATGGCAGGAGAACAATAATTTTAATGGGCAGTACAACTTCATGTAGCTACTCTAAGTTTGCTACGTGATGAAATCTAGCTACACAATCTGCCTTTCGTGCATTCTTGAACAGCATTGTGTGCCAGTTGAACCACAACTGCTGAAGCTCATCTCCATCCTGCCAGATAGGTTCGTAGACATTCTTGATCTGATTAATGCCTACAAGGCATACATGTACTTGATGAAGATGGCCCACCAGCTTGAGTAACTTCAGATGAAGGTGAGCATCACTGATGGGCAGTGGCACTCATAGACATCCGAACGAGCCTTGTAGATCGCGCATTCCCCATTCTGCAGCTTGTCAGAATGATACAAGTTCTCAATTGAAATGTAGCACCTTGTCCCTCTCACAATGGTCTGTAGGAAGTCTTGAGTTGGATTTGAGAGGTACTTTGATGCGATTGTCGATTGACGATGATCTGGGAAATGCAGTGTCGCATGCAAGGTAGTAGTCCGGGGGTGTTTTTGTCAGCAGTTTTTCATAGAGCCGATGGGCAATACAAGAATCATGCCAGCTGCCAGGTGCATTGAAGGTGTAATGAATAATTTCACCTACAATCATTGAGCTGAAGTGGTCCTGGCTTTACTGCAACACTATTAACATACCATTCGATGCAAAAGCGATAACATTGCTGATGAAATGGTCATGCAGCCATCCATTATATGTAGCATTCTGCAAATCCTCATCCACAGACACCTGCACAGGCAGATTCAACCCATCTGCTGTCCCAAATGCTCCAGTAAGGAGATGATGACATTGTCACAAAGCACCAAAGCACTTAACCCAATTAAGGGCAAGTCTGCTTTTGTGACCTGCACAAATGATCCCACATAAAAAGCCTGCCACAAGGGCTAGGCTGAGGACACGCGCAGTGATATGCAGTCTGAAAAAGGGGCTCAAAGGGCCCTTAGCCTTATGCTCACAACTAGGGGGTGAATTGGCTTGTTAGGCCGCATGCAATAGAATAATGAATCTAAGGTTCTTCCTTAGATCCTCATGGGCTTATATACATGTAGGGCAGGGCCCCTGGCACTGTGCTACTGTGAGACCTCAGATACCTACATGTGAATATATTGCCAGAACCGGTAATGGTTCTGGACTTCGTCATAGCAACTATCTACAATGGCCGTGGATACGCCAAGGTAATCCTATCTAATCCAATGAGATAAATGCCTGAAGTGGGCCCACTGTTGAGGGGCCAATGGGTGATGGCCAACAGGGCACATCACAACGGTTGCAACATCAGATGAGAGGATCTGTCCAAACTCAGAACAATGGGTGTGACGATCAGTCTTCATCTGGATAGGGTTGTGAGAAGATCTAGCCTATCCTGTACCTGGCTATACTGTATGCCGGTTGGTAGGGGGATCCTCTGTTGTGGTATCTGCCTATTGGTTTAGGCAGCAAAGTGGTGCCATTATCTTGAGTGGCGAATTGGGTGCTTGCTAGCTTGATGGTCCAATGAGTTCCTTTCTGGGTAAGTGGCCTGGTGTCACGTGACCAACACCTGACAACTTCTAAATAGGGCAAGTGGCCAGTGTCACGTGACTGGGTGGCTGAATCATGGGCGCTTGATGGTTATGTGGTAGAAACAGTTATGTCCGCGATGTATGTGGCGGTACTGTGCTGTTTGTCCAAGTATCCACTTTGTGAGACCAATATGAAGGTTGGCGTCCGAATAACCACTCAAATGAGGACTTTAATGGTTCAAAAAGAAAGGTGCCACTTAATACTGTGACAGACATGCAATAATGAGGTCATTATAATGCTTGAACTCGGATTGAGTCTGTGGCCATGTGATCCTAGCCTCTGGCATGCTTTTCAGGGTCTCGAGTAGTATGTCTATTGCAGTGTGCAGATATCAGTTTGCTGTTGCCGGTATGAGATCAAATATCTCTTGAAGGCTGACTTCACGCATTGTCAATGTGACCCAGTGCAGAATTAGCCTTAATGCACCTGATGCGTCGAGAGAGCAGTGATTCGGATGTGAATGGCCACCAGGATGCACATTTGGGTAATTGATCATTCTGCTGTTCCAGCGATGCAGGAATCCTCCGTGGAGCATTTGTTCGAAAGCTTGAACATCAAAGCCCATGGTTGTGATGAATGCACGATCATTGCGAGAATGATACAGTCGCTGCCATGGAGTAGCTTCTCTTGGATCAGAGAGCAAGTCATGATGCACGAGGTATAGGCAGTGTGTGTTCCTCATCCTGACACCCACTTCCCATGCCTGTTCTATCATTGCAGCCGCTAGTTCACCCAAGACAATGTCCTCTTCCTGATCATCCTCCTCCTCCTCCTCCTCTGCTTCCATCATCTCCTCCACAAGTAGCAGCATGAGTGTGAGCTCATCTTCGGCTTCTGAGTCTGAGGAATGGGGCATGATGATGGAATTAGCTTATAGAATGTGAGCGCTGACATCAGCAAAAATGTCGAAGGTGGATCTGTACATACCTACCCAAATCTGCGCAATTCTCGCAATATCTACCTCGTCTGGCAGACTACATAATGCCCATGCTTATCTGTAACCCCTTGGGGTTTGACTACCCTCATCGGGCCAGGGCTACCACCAT